CTGGTGCCGCACCGCGTCGCGGCGGCGTGCGCACGGAGCATGCGCGTTGTCCGTCCGGGTTCTTTTCTTATGCAAAAAAAAAAACGGGCTCCGCGTTCGGAGGCGGATCTTCGAGGAGGTTGAAGCCGCACGGAGCTCCGCGCTGCTCAGACCGAGACGGAGAGGAGAAGCCGCTGCCGCCGCTGTGGCTCCGTGTGTGCGTGGAGTGTTTCACCGTCGAACCTCCGTGGACGATTTTTTTGTTGTTTTTGTCGTTGTTTTTGTCGTCGCTAAGTCTGCCGGGAACAAGTGACGGACTGAGGGGGGGGACACTCGACAAGTTCTGTCCTAAGAACCGAGAACCGGGGACCAGGAACCGAGGAGTCTGCGCATGTCTCCCGGACTCTGAGCGCATGGAAATACGGACGCAGTTCGAGTCCACGAACCGCCGCGGGGGGAAAAAAAAAAAATGACTTGAAGTGAAAGAGAAGTGAAGCAGTGACGCCGAGTGGAAGTTTACGTAAAAAAAAAACAAAAAAATTTTTTTTACCTGAAAGGTGGATTTTAACCGTTGCGGAGCGAGGAAGGTGTTCGGTTCGATTCCCTGCCCCCCCGGGGGGGGTGTGTTGGGGAGGATGCGTTCCTGCGCCAGAGTCAACCTCCTGGGTGCGCTGTTGGTCCTGTGCGGCGGCGTGGGCGTCTCGTCGGCGATCAGCTCCGCGGACCCGGACTGGTCCGGGGAGGGTCGTTGCCAGCGCATCGTCATCCCCCAGTGCAGGGACATCGGCTACAACAGCACCCGCATGCCCAACCTCATGGGCCACGACGACCAGCAGGAGGCGGCGCTGGAGCTGCGGGAGTTCGCCACCCTCATCCGGCTCGGCTGCCACGGCCACCTGCGGTTCTTCCTGTGCTCGCTCTACGCGCCCATGTGCACCGAGCAGGTGTCCAACCCCATCCCCGCCTGCCGCCTCATGTGCGAGCAGGTCAGGGCCAAGTGCTCCCCCGTCCTGGACCACTTCAACTTCCCCTGGCCCGACTCGCTGGACTGCTCCCGGCTGCCCACCAGGAACGACCCCAACCACCTGTGCATGGAGGCCCCCACCAACGGCTCCTCCGACGACGCCGCCCCCCCCAGGGTCTCCCAGACGCAGCCGCCGGACTTCAGGCCACCGCCGCATCTACCGGGCGGCGGCGACCGCGAGCTGCCCCTGAAGGACGGCGGGCGCAAGGAGGGCTGCGCCAACCCCGGCAAGTTCCACTTCGTGGCGAAGAGCGAGTCGTGCGCCCCCAGGTGTCACCCCCAGGTGGACGTGTACTGGAGCCGCGGGGACAAGCGCTTCTCCCTGGTGTGGATGTCCGTCTGGTCCGTGCTCTGCTTCGCGTCCAGCGCCTTCACGGTGCTCACCTTCCTGGTGGACCCCGGCAGGTTCAAGTACCCCGAGAGGCCCATCGTCTTCCTGTCCGTGTCCTACTGCGTCTACTCCCTGGGCTACCTGGCGCGGCTGGCGGCGGGCGCCGACGGCATCGCGTGCGACCGCGACGCCGGCGTCCAGTACGTGGTCCAGGAGGGTCTGGAGAGCGCGGGCTGCACCGCCGTCTTCCTCGTCCTCTACTACTTCGGCATGGCCAGCTCCCTCTGGTGGGTGATCCTGACCCTCGCCTGGTTCCTGGCCGCCGGGAAGAAGTGGGGCCACGAGGCCATCGAGGCCCGCAGCGGCTACTTCCACCTGGCGGCGTGGGCCGTCCCGGCGGCGAAGACCGTCCTGATCCTGGTGACCAGGAAGGTGGCGGGCGACGAGCTGACGGGCCTCTGCTACGTGGGCGGCATGGACGCCGAGGCCCTGACGGGCTTCGTCCTGGTCCCGCTGTCCTGCTACCTGATCGTCGGCACGTCCTTCCTGCTGTCGGGCTTCGTGTCCCTCTTCCACATCCGCAGGGTGATGAGGACCGAGGGCGAGGACACGGACAAGCTGGAGAAGCTGATGGTGCGCATCGGGGTCTTCTCCGTGCTCTACACCGTGCCGGCCGCCTGCGTCATCGCCTGCTACGTTTACGAGCGGCTCAACGTGGAGCGCTGGCGCGG